CCCCCCCCCTCCCCGCCCCCTGCTCCCCCCACCGCTCCCGCCCCCTGCTCCCCGCCCACCTGCTCCCCCCCCGCTCCCCGCCCCCCTGCTCCCCCCCCCGCTCCCCCCCCCTGCTCCCCCCGCCCCCCGCTCCCCCCCCTCTCCCCCCCTGCTCCCCCGCCCCCCCCTGCTCCCCCCCCCCCCCCGCTCCCCCGCCCCCCCGCTCCCCGCCCCCCTGCTCCCCCGCCCCCCTGCTCCCCCGCCCCCCTGCTCCCCCCCCGCTCCCCGCCCCCCTGCTCCCCCCCCCGCTCCCCGCCCCCCCGTTCCCCGCCCCCCCGCTCCCCGCCCCCCTGCTAGCTCCGGTGCATCTGTTTCCCCCCAGGGACCACCTGGCCCTCCAGGACCTCGAGGCCCCGCTGGACCCAACGGAGCTGATGTGAGTCCCCGTGGCCTCTGGTCCCTTCAGACGGATGTGGCCGGTCCTCTGCCCCCCCCCATCCCCCCCCCCCCCCCCCCGCCCCGTGATAAACTGGTCTCATCGCAGACGCACCTCTGGGAAGGCTCCCACTGCTCCCCGAGACCTGGGGGCCCTCACCGGGCCCCGCCCCGAGCAGCACCCCCCCCCCCCCGCTGAGCCATGACCCGTTTCTGTCCCCTCCCAGGGTCCTCAAGGCCCCCCCGGAGGCGTGGGGAACCTGGGCCCCCCGGGAGAGAAGGTGAGCAGGAGGGCGGAGGCCTGGCCGGAGTCTGGCCATTGGGTTGGGGTCAGGAGAGAGGAGGAGTGGGGGCCATGAGGAGTTTGGGGGAGGGGATTTTGACCCCAGTCTCCTTGCAGGGGGAGCCAGGAGATTCAGGATCCCCCGGGGTCCAGGGGGAGCCAGGCGCCAAGGTGAGTGATGGCTTTGAGGTGTCATTCCCCACCCTTCACCCCCTGAACCCACCCCTCTCCCCCCTCCCCTTACCCCCTCAGCCCCCCTTCACCCCCTCAGCCCTCCTTCCCCCCCTCAGCCCCACTTCCCCCCCTCAGCCCTCCCTTCCCCCCCTCAGCCCCACTTCCCCCCCTCAGCCCCCTTCCCCCCCTCAGACCCCCTACCCCCCCTCAGCCCCCCTTCCCCCCCTCAGCCCCCCTTCCCATGACCGGCTCCTCAGCAGGAGCCGTGCCCAGCCTTCTCGGGCCTGTCCTGGGGCCTCTGTGCGCCCTGCCCCCTTTCTGGGCGGGAGGCCGGACGGTGGGCTTGCCGGTCTGGTGCCCCCTCCCGCCGTGGAGCCCGGGGGCTGCAGGCGTCCTGGAAGCAGGGGCTCATCCTTGACCTTGGGCCCGCCTGTCCCCCTCACCCTGCAGGGCCCTCGCGGGGAGCGCGGGGAGAAGGGCGAGTCCGGGCAGCCGGGAGAGGCCGGGCCACCCGGGCCCAAAGGCCCCACCGGGGACGACGGCCCCAAGGGGAACCCGGTGAGTCTGAGGGCGGGAGGAGGTCCTGGGACTGGGGGGCCGGGGTGTGTGAGGACTGGAGGGGGGCCCTGGGAGGAGGGCTCTGGCAGTGAGGCCCCTGGGGAGGTTGTGGGGTCTAGAGCGAGACCCACAGAGCGAGGGAACGGCGAGCAGCCTCTTGTGGGTCCTGGGAGGCTGGAGGCTGGGGGCTGGGGGCTGGGGGCTGGGGGCTGGGGCTGGGGCTGGGGGCTGGGGCTGGGGCTGGGGCTGGGGGCTGGGGGCCAGGGCTGGGGGCCGGGGGCCGGGGCTGGGGGCCGGGGCTGGGGCTGGGGGCTGGGGGCCGGGGCTGGGGGCTGGGGGCTGGGGGCTGGGGCTGGGGGCTGGGGGCTGGGGCTGGGGGCTGGGGGCTGGGGCCGGGGGCCGGGGCTGGGGCTGGGGGCTGGGGCTGGGGGCTGGGGGCTGGGGCTGGGGGCTGGGGGCTGGGGGCTGGGGGCTGGGGCCGGGGGCCGGGGCTGGGGGCCGGGGCTGGGGCCGGGGCTGTGGGCCGGGGGCTGGGGCTGGGGGCCGGGGCTGGGGCTGGGGGCCGGGGCTGGGGCTGGGGGCCGGGGGCCGGGGCTGGGGGCCGGGGCTGGGGCTGGGGGCCGGGGCTGGGGCTGGGGGCCGGGGCTGGGGGCCGGGGGCCGGGGCTGGGGGCTGGGGGGCCTGGGCGCTGCGCCGGGGTATGCTGGGCCCCCGGGGTCTGTGTGGCTCTGGGCGGCCAGGCGGTACGAGCCTGCTTTCCCTCCCGTTAGGGCCCTGTCGGCTTTCCCGGTGACCCTGGCCCTCCCGGAGAAGGTGGCCCTCGCGTGAGTCTCGGCCAGTGCGGGGGTGGACAGGCCTCTGGCCGCTGGGCGGGGTGGCCGGGCGGCTGGAAGGAGGGGGGGTCAGCCTGCTCAGGTGACCCCCCAGGCCGGGCCCTGACCTGGCCTCCTCCCCGCAGGGCCAGGATGGGGCGAAGGGTGACCGCGGAGAGGACGGCGAGCAGGGGCAGCCGGTGAGTGACCAGTGCCCCCCCTGAGCCCTGCTCCTCTCTGTGCCCCCTGAGGGCCTGGCTGGAAGCTACACCCTTATCCTCCCTCCTTAGGGGTCCCCTGGTCCCACTGGGGAGAATGGACCCCCCGGGCCACTCGGAAAGCGGGTAAGTGAGGTGACACCTGGGGGCGCCCTTGGGGGAGGACGGGGGGGGGGGGGGCGACGCCGTGGCCTGGCAGGGAGAGCTGTGTCCGGGCTGACCTGGGTGTGTGCTGGAGCACGTGTGTGTTTAAGTGCTGAGATGCTTGGCTGTGTTTGTTTCGTGTGTAAGTTCTTGCCAGGGGCGCGGTGTGAACATACCCGTCAGAGCAGCCGGGAAGGCTGGCTTCGCGGGGCAGGAGGGGGGCGTGGCTCTTCACCGAAGCTCCCGGCCACTCGCACGTTCACACCTGGCTTCCCGCCCCCCCACCGCCCATGATGGGCCCTGTGCCCTCATCCCGCCTCCTGCCTCCACCCGCAGGGCCCTGCCGGCACGCCTGGTCCCGAGGGGCGCCAAGGAGAGAAGGGAGCCAAGGTGGGCGAGGCGCCTGGGTGCTGGGCCATCCCCCATCTTCTTGCTCCTCTGCTCCTGAGTCCTCTGTCCCCCCCACCCCCAGGCCCTGAGGGAAGGGGGTTCCCTCTACTGCTCCTGCCCCGGGGCTCCTGGGGCTCAGACCCATTTCCTGCATCGCCCCATCGCCCGTGGACTCCCCGCCCCTTCCTGCCCCTTAGAACACCCCCCGTGTGCGTTTCAGGGGGATCCGGGCGCGGTGGGGGCCCCGGGGAAGACGGGCCCCGTGGGTCCCGCAGGCCCAGCAGGAAAGCCCGGTCCCGATGGCCTGAGGGGGCTCCCGGGCTCAGTGGTGAGTCTGGAGGGGGAGGCTGGGCTGGGGGTGCCATGGGAGGGGGCGCTCTGCCTCACTCTGGGGTCTCCTCCGACCTGTAGGGCCAGCAAGGTCGTCCTGGGGCCACGGGCCAGGCTGGGCCCCCGGGTCCTGTGGTGAGTGGCTGGCTGGGGGGGTGGGGGGGGCCTGGGCAGGGGGCAGGGAGTGAAACCTGGCGGAGCGGGAAGTGGGGGCTTGGGCTCTCCTCTCCTGTAGTGACTTCTCTCTCCTCACAGGGCCCCCCGGGGCTCCCTGGCCTCCGCGGTGATGCTGGGGCCAAAGGAGAGAAGGTGAGTGACAGACGAGTGGCCAGTGTCTCCCCCTCCGCCCTCCCCCCGAGAGCTGGGACCTGAGTCCCCGCTGCCCTGGCCTCCCGCTCGGGCCTCCGGGCCTCAGCGAGGGCTCTGGGTGTGGCCCCCCGCGCCCGTCCCCTCTGCTTCTCCCTGACCCGCCCTCTCCTCCAGGGCCACCCAGGTCTCATCGGGCTGATCGGGCCCCCTGGGGAGCAGGGGGAGAAGGGGGACCGGGGGCTCCCTGGCCCGCAGGGCTCCGCCGGACAGAAGGGGGAGACGGTGAGAGAGGCTGTCCTGGTGGGGTGAGGTGGAGATTCCCGTCGGGGTGGGCTGGGGTGGGGAGAACCAGCTGAACTTGGTCCCCCTTCCCTAGGGCATCCCCGGAGCCTCTGGCCCCATCGGTCCCGGAGGTCCCCCTGGCCTCACTGTGAGTACCACCTGTTCCTCCCGAAACCCCACCCAACGCTCCCATGGCGATGCCAGCCTAACAGGCTCACCCGCAGCGTCTCCGCCTCCCCAGGCCCCTGCCCCATGCTCCCTCGCGCCCTCCTGTGACCCCCTGGCCGTGGCTCCTGGCCTTGCCTCTATGCCTGCACCCCACTTTCCCCGTGTGACCTCTCTTCCTCGTTCCTCCTTCCACAGGGACCCGCCGGCCCCAAAGGCGCCAAAGGAGCCACAGTGAGTGACCCCCCGACTGCCCGCCCCCAGCAGGACGTGGCGCTCTCTCTCCAGAGCAGTGCCCCCGGGGGAGCACTCCCAGCCTGGAGTTGACCCCACTGTGGCCTTGACCCCTCCGTGACCTCGTTTACTCCTTTGCAGGGCCCAGCAGGACCCAAGGGGGAGAAGGGCGTCCAGGGCCCTCCGGGACACCCGGTGAGTTAGAGGCCTGGCCCGCGCCCCGGCGTCCCCCGTCCGGCACCTTCTCTGCTTCACCCCGTCCTCTCCGTCTGCCCCTCCGCCAGGGCCCCCCAGGCGAGGTGATCCAGCCCCTGCCCATCCAGATGCCCAAGAAGACTCGGCGCTCCGTGGACGGCAGCCGCCTGATGCAAGAAGACGCGGCCGAGCCGACCGGGGGCGCGCCGGGCAGCCCCGCGGGGCTGGAGGAGGTCCTCGGCTCCCTGGACTCCCTGCGGGAGGAGATCGAGCAGATGAGGCGGCCGACAGGCACCCAGGACAGCCCTGGCCGCACCTGCCAGGACCTGAAGCTCTGCCACCCAGAGCTGCCCGATGGTCAGTGCCAGCCGGGCACATGGCAAGACCAGCAGCCGCCAGGCGTGACGAGAGTGGTGTTGCAGAGTCAGGGGCAGTGTCGGGTGGGGCGAGGGGACTGGAACACTGGCGCCCACCAGCACCAGTCCTGCCAGTGTGCAGCCGCTGCCAGCCTGCCGTCTGCAGGAATAGATAGCATACGTGTGCACAGGGCCTGCGCTCACACAGCCGGACACGTGTGCAAACCTACAGCCAACACACGTGCAAACCTACAGCCACACATGTGTGCAAACTTACAGCCAACACATGTACAAACCTATAGCCACACGTGTGTGCAAACCTACAGCCAACACACGTGCAGACTTACAGCCACACATGTGTGCAAAACTACAGCCAACACATGTACAAACCTATAGCCACATGTGTGCAAAACTACAGTCAACACATGTGCAAACCTATAGCCACACGTGTGTGCAAACCTACAGCCAACACATGTGCAAACCTACAGCCACACACGTGTGCAAACCTACAGCCAACACATGTGCAATCCTATAGCCACACATGTGTGCAAACCTACAGCCAACACATGTGCAAACCTACAGCCACACATGTGCAAACCTACAGCCACACATGTGCAAACCTATAGCCACACATGTGCAAAACTACAGCCACACAGGCATGCAAACCTATAGCTGCCACGTGTGTGTGCAAACCTACAGCCAACACATATGCAAACCTAGAGCCAACACATGTGCAAACCTACAGCCACACGTGTGCAAAACTACAGCCACACAGGCATGCAAACCTATAGCTGCCACACGTGTGTGCAAACCTACAGCTAACATATGCAAACCTAGAGCCAACATGTGCAAACCTACAGCCAACACATGTGCAAACCTATAGCCACACATGTGTGCAAACCTACAGCCAACACATGTGCAAACCTACAGCCACACATGTGCAAACCTACAGCCACACATGTGCAAACCTATAGCCACACTGTGCAAAACTACAGCCATACAGGCATGCAAACCTATAGCTGCCACACGTGTGTGCAAACCTACAGCTAACATATGCAAACCTAGAGCCAACATGTGCAAACCTACAGCCAACACATGTGCAAACCTACAGCCACACGTGTGCAAAACTACAGCCACACAGGCATGCAAACCTATAGCCGCCACACGTGTGTGCAAAACTACAGCCAACATGTGTGCAAACCTACAGCCTCACACTCATTGTGCTCAGGAGCCGGGCATGCTGCTGGTGGGTGTCAGGGATGGGAGCAGTGGGGGAAACAGTGCCGGATGTGCTAGGGGCTCTGGTGGGAGAGCAGGGGCGGAGGCTGGGAGCGTGTAGGGAGCGGGGGTGGGGATGTGATGCAAAGAGCATCTTCGGTCTGAGCTCCCCCCCCTCCCCAGGAGAGTACTGGGTGGACCCTAACCAGGGCTGCGCCCGCGATGCCTTCCGGGTGTTCTGCAACTTCACGGCGGGCGGGGAGACGTGCGTGCAGCCGCGGGACGATGTCACTCAGGTGCGGCCCGCGCCCGGAGGGCGGGTCTGGGTTCACCTGACAAGTTCCCAGTGTCACCCGCGGAAGACCGGCCCCTCCATTCCTGCGCCTTCCCCTCCCTCCTCCCCCGCCCCTGCTCACCACCCGCAGCCCCAGCAGACACTCGCCTGTCTGCACCCTGTCTCCTGGCTCCCACTCGGGCGTTTCTCTCCGCCCCCCTCCTATGCCTGCCCATGCCCGGCCCGGCCACCTCCTTGGCCTTGACCGCGCCCTCTCCCCCAGTTCTCCTACGTGGACTCGGAGGGCTCCCCCGTGGGCGTGGTCCAGCTCACCTTCCTGCGGCTGCTCAGCGTCTCCGCCCACCAGGACATCTCGTACCCGTGCTCCGGGCCGGCCCGCGACGGCCCCCTGAAGCTCCGGGGGGCCAACGAGGACGAGCTGAGCCCTGACACCAGCCCCTACGTCAAGGAGTTCACGGGCGGCTGTCAGGTGGGCGGGAACGGGAGGAGCTCAGGGGGGTGTGGGTCGGGGGATGGAAATGGGGCTCACCTGTGTGCACAGCAGCATCACCAAGTACACACGCTTACACAGGTGGCCCAGCGGACACACAGGACTGGGCACCACCCCACAGGTCACACAGGCACATGCACACGGCAATCATCCAGCTAATATCACCCCCCATACACACACACACACACACACACACACACACACACACACCCCTCTGTGGAGCAGCACAGACTCAATCACCACACAGGCCGTGATCTCAAAGACACCCCCCTGCCCCCCACACACTCCCTGCCTTCCCGTCATGGGGCGCGGGGGGTCACCGCTCACCGTGCTCAGAGGGGCAGCCTGGGCTATGCCCTCCGCCCAGCGCCCCTCCGTCTCCCCCTGCAGACACAGCAAGGCCGGACGGTGCTGGAGGTGCGGACCCCTGTTCTGGAGCAGCTGCCCGTGCTGGACGCCTCCTTCTCGGACCGGGGGGCCCCCCCGCGGCGGGGCGGGGTGCTGCTGGGGCCTGTCTGCTTCATGGGCTAGGACGTCTCTCTGACCCCGTCCGTGGAAACCAGGCCCCGGAGCCCCACCACCAGCTCCGGGCCACCTCCAGAGGGCTCCTCGCCAGCGGGGCCCTGGGCCCGGGCACGGAGAGCCCCCGTCAGGGCAGACCGGGGGAGGGGGAGCCGTGCCAGGCCACCCAGGGGAGGGGTGGCATCTGGGGCTCAGGGCCCCCCGCCTGGCGCCTGTGACCTGTTAGACAGCTGACACACTTATTTAAAACTCACCTCCCAACCACCCCAAACAAGAGGAAGAGAAGAAAGGACACTGTGTATTTTGTATTTAAAAGTAATTATATTAATTATTTAAAGAGTGGAAAACTGAGCAACAACAAAGGTAGAGATGGCAAGCAGACCAGCGGACCTGGGTTGGGCTCTGCAGGGATGACCGGGTCCGTCCTGGCCTCAGGGCCTCCCAGTGACTCGAACCCCACTCCTGCCCAGTGCCCGGCACCCACTGTGAACACGGAATACACGCCTCCTGCCTCAGGGCGTCCTCTCCACTTACTGGCTGTTTGGCTCCGACCCGCACACTTGCTCCCGTCACCCGCCCCGGCTCGCGGGAACGCCCTACTCGGGGGCCGGGGAGGGAGGGGTGTGCGGGCACCGGCTGCTGAAGCACCAAAGTGTCAGCTGGGCGGTCACCGGCCCTGGGCCCTGAGGACCCCGTGGCCTCCGGGCCGTCCTCCCGGCGCGCCCTGGGGCTGCGGCTGAGGACCGTGTGCGGAACGGCCTCGGGGCCTTGTCCAGCCCGTTCCCGTCCGCTCTGGCTCGTGGTTAAAACGTGACCGTTTCCCCCAGGGTGGATGTGTGCTGCGTGTGGTTACTTCCATCCCTCACACCCCTCTCCAACCCCATCCTTCCGGGCCCAGCTGTGGCCAGAAATGGCGGCTTCACCCGCTCCCAGGAGGGCCTGCCCCGCTGGTGTCACAGCGTCCCGATTCCCTCTGACTCCGCGCTGGCGGCTCCGGGGCGGCCTGCCTCCGGCTCCCCGGCCGCCTTCAGGGGCCTCAGGCCTGGGGGGCCAGGTGCCCGGTGCGGGACTGAGGCTCCTCTCCGTGACCCCGCCCCGCCCCTGTGGCTCTGCCCCCCCTCCCCCTGGCCCTCCCCCCCTCCCCCTGGCCCTCCCCACCCTGGCCCTCCCCCCCTCCCCCTGGCCCTCCACCCCCCTCTCCCTGGCCCCCCACCCCCCTCCCCCTGACCCTCCACCCCTTCCCCCTGGCCCTCCCCCCTCTCCCCCTGGCCCTCCCCCCCCCTCCCCCTGGCCCTCCACCCCCCTCTCCCTGGCCCCCCACCCCCCTCCCCCTGGCCCTCCACCCCTTCCCCCTGGCCCTCCCCCCTCTCCCCCTGGCCCTCCCCCCCTCCCCCTGGCCCCCCACCCCCCTCCCCCTGGCCCTCCCCCCCTCCCCCTGGCCCCCCACCCCCCTCTCCCTGGCCCCCCACCCCCCTCTCCCTGGCCCTCCCCCCCTCCCCCTGGCCCCCCACCCCTCTCCCCCTGGCCCTCCCCCCCTCCCCCTGGCCCCCCACCCCTCTCCCCCTGGCCCTCCCCCCCTCCCCCTGGCCCTCCCCCCCTCCCCCTGGCCCCCCACCCCCCTCCCCCTGGCCCTCCACCCCCCTCTCCCTGGCCCCCCACCCCCCTCTCCCTGGCCCCCCACCCCCCTCTCCCTGGCCCCCCACCCCCCTCTCCCTGGCCCTCCACCTCCGTCCCCCTGGCCCTCCCCCCCTCCCCCTGGCCCCCCACCCCCCTCCCCCTGGCCCTCCACTCCGTCCCCCTGGCCCTCCCCCCCCTCCCCCTGGCCCTCCCCCCCCCCCTCCCCCTGGCCCTCCACCCCCGTCCCGCCCCGGGTTCATTGCGGGCAGCTCGGCCGTCCGTCCTGGACCTAGTCGGTCCCCCTGGCGGCCTCCCGTTCCCACCGGGTCTTCCCCTCCGCCTCCCCCAGGCTCTGGGCCCCCCCCCCCGACCTCTCCCTCCCCCCGGGGCCTCCCCCAGGCTCTGGGCCCCCCCTCCCACCGGACCTCCCCCTCCCCCAGGGCCTCCCCCTCCCCCGGGGCCTCCCCTTCCCCCTCCCCCGGGGCCTCCCCCTCCCACCCGGCCTCCCCCTCTCCCAGGGCCACCCCCTCCCACCGGGCCCACCCCAGGCTTTGGGCCTCCCCCTCCCCCCGGGGCCTCCCCCTTCCCCAGGGCCTCCCCCTCTCCCGGGGCCTCCCCCCCCCCCCCCCCCCCGGCCTCCCGCTCCCCCGGGGCCTCCCCCTCCCCCAGGTCCTCCCGCCCGCCGGGACCTCGGCCCAGTCACCCTCCGGCCGGCGGCTGCGGGGCCGGGGGGAGGGCGCGGCGCGTTCTGGGTTCGTGTCCGCACCGGAGGGGCGCCCTGGGCCCACGCACACCCCTCCTTCCTCCCGCGGACCCCCGACGGCCCCGCCTGGGTCGACCTGACCCCAAGGACAAACCCCAGACCCTAGTGCAGGGCTGACTCCTTCTCTTGGGATGGGTGGGGAGGGTGGGGAGGGGAGGGGAGGGTTGGGGTGGGAGGGGTGGGGAGGGGTGGGGAGGGGTGAAGTGGGTGGGGTGTGTGCATAGAAACCTCCACGGAAACGGGTCTCAGGCGAAACCCCTCCGCCCGCCTCGCCGGCGCCCGCGTCTCCCCGCCTCTGGCGCCCCCTGGTGGCCGCGCCCAGACCGTCGCCCCTAAAGGGCCCCGAGACGCCCAAGAACCTGCACCCTCCTCCGCCCCACTGATCCCCCACTCCCACCCCCAGCTCAGAGGGACGGTGGGAGGGAAGCCCCGATCTCGTCTATTTGGGGTCAGGACGGGGTTTGGGGGACTCCACGCCCTCCATCTCAATCCCCAATCCTGACAACCAACCACCTTCCTTCCCAGGCTTCCGCTGAGGAAGTGATCAGACCTAAGTAGACGCCCCCACTCTCCTCGTCCCCGCCCCCGCCCCTCCCCCGCCCTCACCCCCCTCCCCCGCCCTCCCCCCCCCCCCCCCCCCCCGCCCTACGGAGCGGAGGCTTCTCAGCTTCTCCCCGCGCGGAGGGAGCCGAACCCCTGGAGGCCGTCCCTGGAGCCAAAGGGGCGATCCCCGAAGACCACTTCCGGTCTGATGCAGGCTCGGAGCTGTCCTCCGCGGACGCAGGGCCGCGCAGTCGCTCGGTGACAGGCACGCGCGGCGTTAGGCCCGGCCGGTGCACGGACGCCGGGCTTAGAGCGATCGGTGCCCGGAGCCCGGTGCCCGGTGCCCGGAGGAGCTGGAACCACAGCCTCTGCCGCGGGCGAGCGGGGCGCCCGGGGAGAGGAGAGGAGGGTGGGGGCCAGCTCCAGGCTGGGGTTGGGGTGGGGCTGGCGTGTTAGTGCAGGTTCCCGGCACTTGGATGCGGGATGCCAGTGGCTCAGTGGCTTCTGGGGACACAAAGAGAGAGAGGCCGCGACCTTGAGGATCTGGGGTTTGGTTGGGTCAGAACATAACCGCCTGCAGGAGGGCCCGGGTTCCTGACCGCCTCTAAGGGAGTTTAACGTGAACCCAACCAGGAAGAGGGAGTCCTCGCTGCTGTTAGAAGGTGAGGGAGCTGAGGGAGCTGGGTCGGGGTGGCGGAGGGCGGAGGAAGGAGGAAGCTGCAGAGCCAGCGGGCTGGGGACGGGTCCGCTAGCCTGTGACGCCTGGAGCTGCTCCTCAGACTTGGGCTGATGTGTGGGCCTCTGACTTACGGTCAAACAACAACTTGTAACATGTGCACCACTTAGATCGCTGTACCGGCCACACTGCAGGTCCCAGAAGGCCCTGGGCTTCCTGTCCCCGGTCCTCCCGCTTTGGCCAGCTGGATGCTGGATGTGCAGTTTCTGAACGGGCAGGGCAGGGCAGGGTGGGTGGAGGAGACAGGGACCGGAGGGGTCAGAGCAAGGCTCCAGCTGCCCCAGAGAGAAGCTCCTGTGTGCAGGGTGCTGCGTCCCCCTGGGTGCTTGCCCTCCCTGCGCCTTTGTTATCTTTCTCTCATCTCCCGGGCAGTTTCGTGGGAACTGGCATTACCGGCAGAGTGCCAGCTTGTGGGGAAGACCCTCCCCTTCATTCATATTATTGGGTGAAGACCGGGCACCTAGAGGGGCACCTCCTTACGGCTGCCCCCAAACAGCTGGAGGAGTCCTCCTCGGTGAGAGCCAGCCACCGCACCGCCTTCCCACATCAGGTGGCCATGTCGTCCACTCTGTCCCGCCTCTGTCTATGAGCACGTCTTGCTTCCACGCTGAAGTATTTTTTTAAAATATATTTTATTGATTTTGTACAGAGAGGAAGGGAGGAGATAGAGAGCTAGAAACATCGATAGAGAGAGTCATCAATCAGCTGCCTCTTGCACACCCCCCACTGGGGATGTGCCCGCAACCAAGGTACATGCCCTTGACCAGAATCGAACCCGGGACCCTTAAGTCCCCAAGCCGACTCTATCCATTGAGCCAAACTGGTCTCAGCAACGCTGAAGTATTTTGATTCCCAAGAAATAGAAGGGTGGTTTCCAAAGCACGAAAGCAGAAGCCACGTGGGACACTACAGCGGCTGGAGCAAACGCCAAGCTCCAGGTCTCACCACTGCGTCCCTCAGAGCTTGGAGTCCAGAGACTCGGGCCGAAGTGTGCGGCTCCCGGCTCCGTGTTCCTGTGTGTGCCCGGCCTGGCTAGCTCCTCCCTGAGGGAGGTATACACATTACTAGTGCTCTTAGAGATTTCTCATAACTCTGCAGCTTTACATTTGTGGCTGTTTTTAGGAATACCTCAAGATTTTTCTTACTTTTCAAAATTAAAAATATATAGAAACAAACCAACAAAAACTAAAAACTAAGAAACGCGTTTTGGAGATATGAGGGTTTGGGAGAAGATGGGAGGCGGTGCCGTGTTTCAATGGAGGCAGACAGCAAAGCTGCAGAGGCCGCCGGCCTGGCTGAGCAGACCTGGGGCCGGCGGTGGCTCTGGCACGACAGGCTGGCCGGAGACCT